AATTACCTGTTGCTGAAAGTGTTAAATCATGGGTCTTGAAACCCTCTCTAACATCTTCAACAGTCAGTGTTGTCTGAGCCAACAGGCTATACTTTGGGCCCCTGTGAATACAAAGAAATTCATACAATTAGACTCTCTTTTAAAAAACAACAATAAAACGCGTTTCAAGGAGAGTGACCGTGCCCACAGTGCAGACGGAGGTGAAACATGTCCAGGCCTCGCGGTCCCTCCACCGGGGCAGATGGAGCCGCACGCAGACTCAAACGCGGCACGGATCTTTTTCCCAGAGGAGCATCCCAACGAGCCTCCCAGGAAGCTCATTCTCCTGGGAGCCGGAGCCGGGGCCGCCGGAGGGAAATCCTCGGCCGCGCAGCAGCTGTAGAGCTCGACGCGGAGTGAGAAGCCCGGACCCACCTTGTCGCTGGGCGGATGTGAAAGGTCTTTAAGATCTTGCACGTTGGAACGCGTCAACTCGGTTGTGGAAATTTTGCCTTACAATACGACTGCGTCCTCAAAGCAGATGTCAGTCAACGTCCTGTCCACCATCACCAGATCGGTGTCGTGGATGTCTGAGCCGCACTGAAGCAGGCAGAACACGGCGCAGCGATGCAGCTCTGAAGATGGAGAAAAGATTATTTTATTGGGGATTTTTATTACATTTTTGTGTGGAAATTGTCACATTTACATATAAAAATACTAATACAGGCACAGAAATGCCTACAAAAAAATTATATTCTTACAATGAATATGCCAAACTTTTATTTGGATATTTGCCTATTGAGAGAAAACCTGATCCCATTTGCTTACCTCCTTTGTTTTTGAAGTACTCTGAGTCTTTCCACATGAGGGGGATTCGCAGGTCTGCAGAGTGCAAATTAATAAGTCAGACATGAAAGAAAAAAAAACTTTGTTGCAACAAGCAGCTGAACGACAAACTTGGCTGCTAATATACAAAGGATTAAACAAATACGATTTGTACAAAGACATTTTGTTACCTGAAAGTGACACTTTCCCAGTACATGGCACTGCATCTTCAGATATCCTGCTGTCAAAAATAACCAGCAGCCAACCACCCACGTCCAGGAAATAGAAAAAATAAAAGAAACAAAACGTGTTTTGTTAGTTTTTGTCTATCCTAAATCGAAAAGTAATTCCCTTAAGCAGTATTGACACATCAGTTGCATATTCACGACTCTCAGACCTGAAGATTTAACTTAGAAATGGACATTTCTGGATCTATTCATTGTGTAATATAAACACAGCTCATGCATCTCCAAGTAACCTCGCCTGACATCTCGTTTGTTGGTACAGGCTGTGCTTTTTTTTTTTTTGTGCAAAAATTACTTCTTCGGTTCGCTTTTTAAAGAAAAAAAAAAGAAGACTTTTTAAGTTTCTCATTTATATGCATCTCCCTGAGCAATTACCTTCCCATGAAATCATGCATACGCTCAATCCCTGTGCTTCTACTGACCCGTGTCCCTCTCTCTCCAAGATCTGTGCTCTCCTCATCCTCTGCAGCTGGCCGAGCAGAGCCAGGATGCGGGCGTTGCAGGTCAGCAGACTCTTGGAGGCCTCCAGGGCCTGATCTCTCTGGGAACAGGCAGCCAGCAGTTTGTAGGCTCCCTCCTGCATGCGCACCTCCCTCTCAATCTGCTGCAGGACTCTCTCATCCTGTTGTGGACGAAACGGCGGCATAATGTGACACCTGCATCTAAGAAAGTCTGTATTGACAACACTGAGAACAGAGGATGCGCTACAAAAAAAAAAACAAAAAAAAAACCCAGGCATTAGAAAGGCGAGGTAAAGGAATCTTAATTATATAGAACATTTTCAGCAATAAGGCAAAGTGTTTTACATGAATTGGAAGGAAATGCTAGAAAAACAAACAAAAGAAAAAGATGAAACTACTACATAGTTTAAACTCAGAGGAGTTTCTCTAGATCTAAAGTTTGTTCTCGATTAGTAATAAGAACAAGAGCTCCACAATTTATAAACTAGTACGAGTTTCTGTGTCTCCATGTTTGATTCTTTTTCTGGGTTGCTACTTAGTAAGAATAAAGCTAAATATTGGTTCCCCGTGAAGTACGTCATAGTTTATAAACTATGAAACTACGATCTCTGGATCTTAAGTTTGTTCTGCATTAACTAGGTATAAAACTAAATGTTGGTTCCAGTTGTTCTGGGTTGCTAAGTCAACAGTATTTTCTAAGCTTGTTCCAGATTTGTGAAGTATGAAACTAAAAGTCCACAGGTAAGACTTCGATGGCAATTCTGGAGGAGCTGCAGAAGTCCACAGCTCAGGTGGGACTGTTGACATGACAACTATTTTCCACATGACTGATCTTTTTGAATGAGTAGCAAGAACTGTGCCAAGTTTGCCACAAGGGGGCGCTGAGATGAAACCGAAATGACAAAAGCTGTGCGTTAAATTTGACGCTGCACGTAACCATGAACATGGAGGGTCGTTTGGATTTGAGTTTTGGATTTTATTCATTTCATAAAGGGAACAATGCATGCTAAACATGAATGCATCACGCAAGTGTGCCAGATTTATCCAAATTTTCATCTGTAGTAGCAGGTTGATGGAAGGGATTAAAAAAAAATAAAAAAATACAATTGACATGCATAAAAGCATACATGATCTATGATTTATGACAGATTCCAATGGATTTCAAAAAGTAGCATCGTTTACAGAAGACATCAATACAAATTAAATTCCTTAAGAAAACATGTAAAAAAAAAACACTGGTTCATTGAAAAATTATTGAAAACATGAGTGCAGTTTTGATGACGTAGTGATAAATGACTTCCTGAATGATGTAATATTTTAGCTAAAATGGTAGCGTATTCCAAGAATTTGAAGCCCGGACCAGAAAATGACAATTAGCTGAAAGAACTTCTCCTGCAAGGTATTTTACAGTCTCTCCTACTAATTTCTCTTGTAGTTGTGTTTGATTTTAAAACAGAAACGTAATCCATCTCTTCATCAACTCCTTGTTAGGAGGAGTTGATGACAAGATAGATGGAAACCTCCCAGAAGAAAACCTGTTGGAACCTGCGTTAGACTAACCGGGGTACAAAAGTTCATCTTCCTGGAGGAAAACAACGATCCACCCAGACAGACCAAGCCTCGTCTAATCTGACTGAGCTGGAGCCGTTTCGCAAAGAATGGGCAAATCGTCGGGTCTGCGTGTGGGTGGACACACTAAAAACAACTTGCAGCTATAACTGCAGTGAAAAGATGGTTGTAGAAAGAACTGATTTCGGTGGATTGGATCCAAATCATGGAGCGTTTCTCAGATTTTTTCCTCCCCCCACACATCACAAATATGCATCATTTTGAGTTGGACTTTTATAAAGAGAGCCCAGTGAAGTACACAAATATTTGTAACATTAATGTGGCACAATGTGAAAAAGTTTAAGGTAAATTAATACAAGGCCCTGTACAGTTAATCATCATGCAACTGTACTGAACACTATGAAATGTTTGGGATAGTCAGCTCCAACCTCACAAAGAGCATCTACTATCCTCTAAGATTCAGACTACTTTCTCTTTCATCAGCTCTATGAATTTGCTTCTTACCAAAAGTGTTGGACTAGTACAAGTGTTCAAGAATCAGTGACCCTGATAACCAAAGTTCCTCACGCAAGTTTCAGTGTTGATTGGTTACTCAGACATGGTGTGAAAAGTGTGTCGTGCTAAAGCTAACTGAACGGTCCGATTTGTTTTGGAAGTCAACGAAACGTGGGATCATTTCGGCCTCGTCGCTTTTCAGTTTTCTTGTCACAATTCAGCTTGTAGATAAAATACGGTGATCAAACTCTGTGGAGATTCCCCCCCCTCTTTCAAGCGAGTGTAAGAGTTTTGCTGACGTTGACCGTACACGTAAAAATGAGAACCGTGTCCGTTAGTAACCTCGACTGAAACACCCGACAGACAATGCTGAAACCAGGCTTTGAACCTCCAGACATGTTGCATAAGCTCCCAGAAGTCAAGGGCTGAACTGGGCACGTCTGCAATCCAGGACGAAGTTGTTAAATAACAAACCGATGCAAAGTTTTGTGACACAAAACACAATGTCCTTTGTGTCCGTTTCCAAACACTAAAAACTGCAGAGGAAGAAGACATTCGACATTAGTGAGAATTCCCAAATGGAACTTTTTTCCCCTTCCTTTTTTAACCAAACATTCAAGAATACAGCTGCAGTTGCTGGTTTATTCATGGTTGTAATGTATTGATTGTGTCCATGGTATGGTCTGCAGTCAGTATATGTTTAATACAGCTTTTGGCCTGAAGGACTCCACCACTGGGTTATTCATCGCAACCCCAAAAACAATCGACAGCATTTCAAATGAGTCAAATGCATTTTATTCTGCCTGAAGTTCACATTTTCCTGTTGATTTAGCATCCGATGAAACTTCCATCTGTCAACAAAAGTAATGCCGTCACATCTTTGAATCTCAAAATTGTTATAGAACGTAATGCGCAGTGGATTCACAACCTATTTGCTACATTAACAAGTCATGTGTTTGAGCTTTGGGGGGGATCAGAACCAGTTTCATAATTCAGCCGTGCTGGTCTGGATTCAGTCTCGATGGATAATCAATATGTACCTCACTCAATAGGTTAAAAAATAAATAAGTATATAAATATAAGAGTTTTCTCCCTTTAATATTAAAAAAAACCTGATGACAAATGTTTTATGGGTTTTTTTTTCCTCACGAATTATTACTAGAGAAAATAATCGCTGATCTGCGCATCAGAACTATCGTTTTCAGCATAGGAACCTTTTCTCCTCCGTTTACTTACCTGGTGCCTGTCGGCCATGGCTCCACTCAGCTGAGCCTCAGAGGTTCTGTTCGGGCTGCGCTCTCTGGCAGCGGGATAATCCTGCAGCTGACTGGACCGGTGTTCGGACTGGATCTGCAGACGGAGCAGGTAGTTACTCAGCAGAGATCAAAACAATCTTAAGCCTCCATACAAGAGGCTGGAGCACGAAGGATTAGAGCCTCAAACAGTACACTCGCTCATTCAAGCAGTTCTATAGCGGGAATAATGCAGGCCCAGGTATAGAGTATTAGCTGTATAAATCATTATGTATGAGTGTAAAAATAAATAAATAAATATGGAAGTCAGTCTCGTCACAAAGTCTTCATATGAAAAATTTACTGTGAATTTCCATTTGGGGAATCAAAGTTAGAGGAACACAACCAGTTCATTTGTGAATTTACAATGGAGTTGAGGTATTGTGTGATTAATTTGAAGGGTATTCAGTAATTCCTGAGAAAGGATCATTGGTACCTTGCATAACTGGCATGCATTGTGCAACAACGATCCCACTCAAAAGCAGCAGGAGTATTTCCTTACTGCCTGGTCACTTTCCAAAAATTGTCCCTGTAAGAGAGAGAAATTCAAAAATGGAGATTCATGAAAATCTCAAATCAGGAAATAAATTGTTTGTTTTTCATGCAGACAGTTCCTAACCAAGCTGAAACCTGAAAAAAAAAAGGTTTGAAATTAGAGCTTTACATGCATGATTCTTTCCTGCATGTCTGAGAAATCTTTTGATCTCCCATGGCAACCATGCAGCTGTGCAAAACACCTGGAAGCTGTGCATCATCTGAGCTCATATGAGCCGCTTCTCAGTGGAACACTGGTAAAAACGTTAGCAGAGTGATACGATAACTTCCTGAAGGCAGAGTTTCAGTAAGGAATTTCTTAAAGAGACAGACCCAAGTTCAAAGCTTTATGTGTCAAATTTCTTTTAAGTCACAACATATGCCATTGTAAATGCTGGAAACCACAATATCGCCCCTAGATAAGTGAAGTTGGATGCAAACAAAACATCACTCGTGTTAGAGGACCTCACATGTTGTCTGTGAAGACACAAGTAGATCCTGGACTGAAATTAAGGCCCTCACTAATGCCAACTGCTGTCCAGAAACCATAAGGTGGAAGGGCTTAAAGAACAAGCACCATGCAGAATCACACACGGAAACAGAGGCAAGTTTAAGCATTTATTTTAAATATGTACAAAGAGGTAAGAATATTGCAGAAGTTCTCCTTGGTTCCGGTCTGGGGATCATCTGCAGGAGGAGAGGCAGATTAACGACAGTGAGGTCAGAACGGTTGAAAGAAATTCTAACGTTGCAGGTTAAATGGGCTTATAGTACCTTGTAGGGCTTCTCAGAGGGAGGAAGGCGAGGGGAGGGAAGTATAGGATCCGGCTGCAGGTGAGCACACGGTTCTGGTTCGAAAACATGAGAGGATCGCTGAGAATCAGAGAGAGAAGAGTGAACAGAGACAGTGGAGCTAAAAAAAAAAGAAAGACAAAAACAGATGAGTCACATAAATTCTAGCGTTTCTCAGAAGAGTCATCAGCAAGCTAGAGACAAACATGTTTAAGTTTTCATCCAGCAGAGAGTGAAGGCCTTGCAGCTCCTTAAACCCTCCCAGGCTGGTGATCCAACAAGCTGCAGGTGTGTGTCCCTGCTGCAGGCCAGCAGCCAATCAGGAGCGACTCATACTCACACATTTTCAAATGCCACATCTATGCATCTTAAGTGAACTTAAATATTCAGACAAGTAAATAAGATTTGTGGAGTCCAGTTGACGCTGGTAATGTCTGTAAGCTGCTGGGGAAAAAAAATAAAAAGAAGATATTCAGATGTTAAGATTTCTCAGACTTGCCTTCATTAGAGATAAGTTCAAAATGATTCAGATTTGGATTTAAAGTGATATTTTCATTTAACCAACATGTGTTTTCCCAGATCTGAATGTTTTGGAGTGGAGAGTCCTGATTTAAACCTGATTACACAAACAGCTGGGAGGCCTTTCCGACTTCAACGCCTGAAGCTCATCCATCAAACATGAATGTCAGAATACCAGAGGAAACAGGTGTTACGCTGCAGAGCTCAAGTTTCGATTAACTTTTAAACAAACACAGACGAGCTGAAATCCTGAACCGCCAGCAGTTATTATTCTGAACTGGTCTCTGAACAAAAGGCTGAGACATTTGTCTCAAAACTTTGACAGCAAGGTTTGTCAAAAAAAGAAAGAAAAAAAGGAAATGGCAGGACTGATGAGGCATTTAAGAGCATTAGGCCTGCACTGACAGCTGCTGTCTTCACTTGCACTGCAGAAGATGATACAAATGACAAGCATGTTTGTGTTGTGTAGTTGATAAATTGCTTTTTGCAGAATGTGTTTAAAAAAATCCCTTAAATGGGAATTGATAATTGGGTGTAGCAATGCCTGTTCAGACCAGCAGGTGGGGCATGAAAATAAACTAAAACATGTAAGTATTTAAACGTAAAAAAAGAAAAACAAGCCCAGAGTGCCATGAAAGTGATCTAATAGCATGTTGAATTTTCTTAAGTGTTTCTGTCCATTAAAGGGTTTAATTCTAAAACTTAATAAATGGCACTTTCAGCAACTTAGAAATCGTTTAAGAACTTTATGAATAAAAGGAGAGAAAATGCATGTAGTTACATGACATCACGGTAACTGCATAAGATAAGAAAAACTTATTACAGTGTTGAAGTAGATAGCTTATAGATTTCAGCCAGATTTTCCATGTAAATCATCCGTTGGCTGACAATAACAAATACATCAGACAGTGAAGTTGCTGACAGTTTTATTTAAGACGTCACACTTCAGAGAAATATTTAGTATTCCAGTGACATTAGAGGGAATTTGACAGCAGAAAGCAACTACAACTGAAAAGCATATTTCTATTAATTAATTCAATTAAATATTTGTTGCTTATATTAAATCATAAAGCACTTAAATGCTACAATGTTGTTGGTCGTATTAATCATTTTCCCCACATTTCAGAGTCTTTAACAGGACCAAACAAGTCACTAAATCTAATAAATCTAAAGCATTCATTTAATATTTTGTGGCAACCAACTTCTGGTTGCATTGTGCAATCATCTGCACGCCTAAAAAAATATTACACACACTGGATGTTCAAGTTGCAAACGTAAGTAGTTCAAGGTATCAAATATAATATTTTGACTGGTTCTCATCTGTACAAGTCAGGACACACACAGCTACATATGGAAAACATTGGATCTGGTCCATTTTACAGAATGACATCTTTTGAAGTTTCGATGAACACAGAAAAAAATAAAATATATGCAAACATGTCTTCTTCTTATGGAGTTTCTATTCAAAACCAATGACGGCCTAAAGTCTGAAAAAGTATGGACATGGAGAAAAGAGAGAAAAAAAAATCAGTTCTACTGCACAATATTTACATTTTCACAGCTGGTTTATGAAATCTGATAGTAAAGCGTCAGTCAGCTGCCACGTGTTCAGTCTCCCTCATTCTGTCGGCCATATTTACAACGTTTCACATTTGTATTTAAACTGACAGAAGCTTAAAAATCACATTTCAGTACATCTGTACACATTCAAAGTGCTTGTTAAAGTTTATGAAATACATCTGGTAAAAGAACTGAGAAAAAAAAAAAAAGAGTAAAAAAAATAAAATACAACCTTAAATAAACCACTGTAGAAACGATATAAGAGCGTCAAAAAAAAAAAAAAAAAAAAAAAAAAAGGGAAACTGAAAGTGCTTTGCGGCTTTTATCCCTCATCAACTTCTGTGAAGATGTCACTCAGGAAGTACTGCGACACGCTCGTAGGCTCGTTGTCGACAAAGCCGCTCTCCGTTTCCAGGGAAGTGAAAGCCTGCGACAGAGAGCAAACATTTAGGTTTTATAAAGCTCATGTTGGAGAACAAACATTAGCAAACACAAATCTGTTTCCTCCTTACCGTAGACGAAGACCTCGGGTCAATATGCGCACAAACTGGTGCCGCAAGCGCCTCCGCTGCTGCTGCTTTTGTTTGACAGGGAATATTAGAATTTGATGCAGAGGCTGCAGGTTTTGAAGATGCCTGTGCTGCTTTGGTTGGAGTTTTCTTCTGATTTCTCCTACTTGCTGCTTTTCTACACTTGGAACTCCTCGTTTCAGAAACACTCGCTTCGGAAACATCACAAGCGGAAACTTTGGCTTTCCTGTGACAAATGAAAATAAAGTTAAACTGAAAGTTTCTAACCTGACAATCTGGAGAATTACTCCGATTTTCTTCCTCACCTGCTGAGACGAGTTTCCTTGTCACCTAAATCATCACCGGCTGTTTCGTTCGCCTCAGCGACGAAGTTCTTGAGGACTTTAGGTTCAACAGAAACTTCCGGATGGTTTTCTTCTGCTCTCAAACTCACCTCAGAAACACTGCAAAGGGAGAAGAAATGGGGGAAGTGGGGGGAATCAGAAACGAAACTAAACAACCCCAAACTTCCCCGGACAGAGAGCCGACACGAACCTCGGCTGCTGTCCCGATGCACCTGTTGCGGGAAGATAAGAGAGGTTCTGGGCTCCGCTCGCTCCCACTTCCCCTGCTGAGGGGACCGGGATCTCCGTCAGGGAGAGGATGAAAAAGGGCTCGTCTGGATCTGAAGGCACTTGCTCTGGCAGCACTGAGAGGGAGCGAGGCATAATTCAGTCAAAAAAAAAAAAAAAACAACAGGAAAGAGAAAGCAAACTTCAAACAAATCGACGCGAGCGGGAGAAAATCTCTGACTTACTCTGTGACATGAGCGGATCTCTCTGAATCGCCTCGGTACTTGATGTTTTATGCTGGGATTAAAGGGAGAAAATTTGAGGGGAAAGTAACGGCGTTTTTTTGTGTAGTACAATCCATCGCTGATCAAAGTGCCGACACTCAGCACTACAAAGCACGCTTTCTCAGACTTATTTAGTCAGAGGTTGTTCTACAGTCTTTGGGAAAGTATTTCTCACCCCTTGTGTTTTCCACATTTTGAGTTTGTCAAGAACAAAGAAAAACTCCAGCTTATTTTTTTTTTGCGATTTTAAAAAAAATGTCCTTGATCTTCAAAATTTTATTTTCACCGCTGGATTATATTGGGATTAATTACAAATTAGATTACTTCAAAAAGCCAAATTAGTTGCACTGAATTATGTTAAGGGTTGGCAAGGTAAATGGATTGAAACAATTGTACACAAGACTTTTTGAATAATAAAAAAAAAAGACAAAAAAAAACACCTTTCACTTTAAACTTACAAAAAAGCAAGCCAAATTTGCCTGTAGAAGAAGCTGCTATAATAGTTGCCATTTAGCTTTATTTAAAAAAAAAAGAAATAAAAAACATTGTTGAGAAAGAGTCTTGTTAATAAAGAAGCATATTTACCCCATAAGAAGATTGTGGCTGAACACGACTATCAGAGGAATGAGAATCAATTGAACCTGAGTCTTTTTCACTCGATTTCTCAAGGACTCCTTTTTCTGGATCATGGGTGTCGGCTTTAAGTTCACATACAGATTTCTTGATTTCCCTAGAGGCACCAAAGGCTTGCAAAGTACTGTCGGAGTCTGTGGAAAAGAGAAGAAAAATGGTTTAAATCCCATTAGTTATTGAATCCAAACCAGTCAGAATTGCTCAGAGAACAGGAGAACCGTGAAACCTGTTTCCGTTGGTTTTGTGTTTCCAGCTGGATGGGTTTGCTGAAGATGTCCGCTGCAGCGCAGGTTGAGTTTAGGTTTAATCGCCAAGTTGAAATCTCCAGATGAAAGACAGTCAGTGTTTGCTGGGTCTTTATCTGACATTTTGTCCTCAGTTGATTCCAGCGGTTGCTCCAATGCAACAGACGACATCCCTTTACTCTGGTCTTCAAGAGGTCTGCTGTGATCATCGGACTGAAGCTTTCTGACTGCAACTCTACAGCTTTTTTCTAAATTGGGCTTGGGTTTGACTTTGGAAAAGCGCTGCCTTCGTTGAGGCGTTTTTTCTGTGACAGCTGAACTTGAAACTTCAACATTTGTTAGTACTTTTTCCTCAGTTTCTCTATTCTGCTCAGAGGCCTTGCTTTGAGGTCTTCTTACAGCCTCCGTAGTTGTTGAGTTTCCTGCGTATGATTTGTCATCCTTTTGATCAAGGGCCAAAGCAACACAAGGCTCTGTCTGGTCTCGGGCTGAACTGCCCATCTTTGCACTGCTGATTATTGCCAATTTAACTGTTTGTGAAACATTTATGCTCTCACTTGGTCCACCTTGAGCCGTCAGGTTTGCATCTGTGAACTCAGAATACTTCTCTTTCTCTGCGGTTGTCTGCTGTGCACAGAGTTGGGGTTGGACTTCAGATTTGTCATCGGCTTTGGACCTTACAGGTCTTGAGGTCTGTGATAAATTTGGTTTAGGTTTTTGTGATCGACTCCTTTTGACCAGCTGAGCAGATGGCACTTTATCCTCCTTCTGACTGACTTGTAACTCTTTAGAGGGTGCAAAGCAAGCTGAAACGTTGCTTCTTTCTAGATCTGCTCCTGAATTAAGGTTTGACCCTTCGTTAAACTGTGGTTCTTTAACTGTTGGGCTATTATTGCTGAAGGTTGAAGATGTTGCACCTATGAGGTTTTCACTGGATGTTGACTCTTGTTTAATCAGTTGTGTCTTTTTCATTTCTGAAGATTCAGAGGTAAGAGGTGGAGTTAATTCCATCACAGGATTATTATTT